TATGTTCCAGGAACAGAGGACCCCAGGGTCATCAAGGGAGAAGAGCATGAGCGGAATGTGGGACGCAGTGACACCAGAAATGGAGGCAGAGATGAGGACATGGAGAGAGGGAGCAGCTGAGGACTCTAGATTCATGGAAAGAGAAAGACTGTGTTCTGGCGGCCAGGAGGCAAGCTTGCAGAATGTGCCCTTTTGTTGTTTAAATGATTGCATATTCCTGAGTGTTTGTGTGTACATGCAAAAACAACAACAACAACAAAAAACCCCAGAGGGAACAGAATACTATTGAATGATGAAGCATAGAGGGGATTGTAATCATTAAAATGAAACAGTCAGTGCAAAACCAATGTTCTTCCATGCAAACTATCACTCAATTCACAATAAAAACTTTAAAAAAGTAAAAAGTAAAAAAAAGAGAGATTATTCCTTTGGAGTTCCAGAAAACAGTTGCCATAACCTTCTGAGCGGACCTCTTTGCCTTGAACTGCCCTGGCCGGTCCCCTTGGAAGCCACTGTTTTTTGATAGGGATTTTTATTTTTGAAGGCTCTTAAGCAGACTAGACAAGTGTATTCCCAAGAGAAGTTGCCTGTAGCCACCCATTGATTGCTGATGCTGTTTAAATATGTTTTGTTTGCAATAAACCTGAACATGTATGAACTGGAACTTAGTAACAATACTTTTTGACTTACCCTCTTATATTGTCATGATGTGCATGCAGCTAGTCAATTCTAAATCCTAACAACTCCATAGTGTTAAGTGCCATCGAGTTGGTTCTGACGCATAGCGACCCTATATAGGGTTTCCTAGGAGCGACTGGTGAGCTTGAACCACCAACCTTGCGGTTCAAACCAATTTTGCAGTCCAGCACATTAACCCACAGCGCCACACCAGAACTCCAACAGAGTTTTCCTAGGCTAGATAATCTTCATGGGAGCAGATTGCCAAGTACTTTCTTTCTTAGAGCTGCTGCTTGGTTCCAACAGCTGACCTTTCAGTTTACAGCCAAGAATTTAACCAATATGCATGTATGTACACACACACACAAACACACCTTAGAACAGTTCCTGGTATGTGATAAATGCTACTTAAATATTAACTATTAAACTTTTGCTATCAGTTTCCCGTTTCCTTATCTGATCTAATGAGTAACACAACTGAGTGATTTCATGGTTCTTTATCTTGTTTTTCTTTTCAAAGTTTCAAAGTTGCAGCAAAAATGTCATTTATAAGCAGTTGAATAAACACAGGATGGATGAGAAGCCCTAAAACAGGGTGCTGAATTAATAGACAGGAGAATCACTTCCTGAATACTGTGGGGCACTAGCTATTTGCAGAACTAGCAGAGACTGTTAATGGGTTTTTGTTACAGAGATGATGGATGGATCTTCCAAGCAGCAACTGCGTCTTACAGGTTCTTCTTAAAATGGTAGCCTTGCAAACAAACATAGTAAACAAAACAAAACAAAAAACAACAGCGTGGTGCTTTCTTATTTTCTGTCACTTTGCCAGCTTTCTGTCCCTGAGAATGTTGGAAAGTGGGTAAGCAGGGCTGAGAAGCAGCATGAGAAGGGAGTTAAGTGTAAGTATGCACATTTAGCAAGTATTTTGAAGGTCACAGATTAGGTTAAATATCCCCCTGCGAGTCGGAGGTGTGAGTGTGCCTACTAAACTCCAATGTGGTGTGATGTCACATTTGAACTACAAATGTTTTGTCTAGTGTCTGCCTCATTTAGTTTAGTGTCGATTCACCTTTTCCCCAGGTTTTACAGAAATCTGTGATCAAGTATCAAAAGGCATTTTCTTAAGTGAAACTCCCTGCAAGCATTTAGCAACGTTTCTTCCTACCTTTGATGGAGTACAAGAGTCCATTTGATATGATACATTGCATAGCTGAAGTAGATTATACAGCAAAACCCTACTGTCAGTTGACGTAATTCCAACTCAGAGCAACTCAGACTGTCCCTTAGGGTTTCAAAAGCTTACATCCTTATGGAAGCAGATTGTCACATCTTCCTCCTGCAGACAGAGCAGCTGGTAGGTTCAAATTGCCAACATTTCGGTTAGCAGTTAAGCACTTAGCCACTGCATCACCAGGGCATCTTAATTATATAGCATCACTTAACAACAACAATGACAACACTTCTCATTGAACTCACAACTTCAGACAGGAAATTAAAATAACACTCTTATAATATGCCAAGACTAATGCCTGACTAAATCAAGTCCTGGGGAGTCCTAATGTGGTGTTGTGGGCTCATGCGCCAGTCTGCAAAGTCGTTTGAACTTCAAGGTTGCTGGTTCAAACTCATCAGCTGCTCCTTGGAAACCCTATACAGAGTCGCTATGGGTTGGAATCCACTCGATGGCACTTAACAACAGCAATCAAGTCTTGGAGTCCTGTTGTGGCACTATAGGATAAGCATTCGACTTCAAGGCTGGTTTGAAACACAAGGTTGGCAGTTCAAACTTACCAGTGGGTCCTCAGAAACCCTATACAGGGTGGCTATGAGTTGGAACCTACTCCACAGCACTTCTTAACAACAACAATGAAGTTCTGACACATATTCAGTTCTAGGCTCCTAACAAATACTTTTTGGAAAAAAAAAATCCTTTTTACCGCACAGGTAAGCTGATGATTTGAGTAGGAAATTATTCACATATACATACTGTAGTTTTCCTAATTGTCTTTAAAATGAAATCTGAGAAGGTATTAGTTGTTCCTGGCTGAACCATACTCAATTCTATTCATTTTTTCTACATATATAAAAACAGCAAACATCTCATTTCTTTTTGGAGCTTCCAGGCACCAATAATGACCCATCAAAAAGCCATCAGGAACTAATAATGCATTTGACCAGAACTAGACTAGACTAGGAACTCCATGTGGTCCAGAAGAGAAAAAAAATAAAAGTTTTCTAGTGCGCCATGACAGAAAGACACTGAAAAAACACACATCTATATTCACAAAAAACAATTAGGCCTAGGGTAATCAGGGTGAATATTCAGGTTCATTTTATTCCAAGGTACTGTTTCTACTCTTGAGGTGCCTTTGTAGAAGAGTCCTTGGGTTAGAACACTATTAAAGGTGTTATGATTTCTCTTGGCCCTTGGGCATGTTAAGGTAAACATTTTACATTTTTACACAGTAACAACAATTTACAGCCCAATAACGCCGGATCTGATCAACTTTAACAATCTGGGTGTTTAAGGCTAAGGACATTTGAAAGCAATCATTTCCAGGATGGAAATAAAATATCTGTGCACAGTGTCACCTGACTGAGTTGCTAGAAAACCTTTCGTATTTAAAAACGTATTTCCAGACGTGTTTTCACATTTGCCAATTTCTTTTCACTTGTGTGAGAGACAGAGGCACTTGAAGAGTGAGTAATTAACTGGATTCGGGAGAATGAGACACTGAGCTTCAGCTATCATCGGTAAATATGGAAAGGAATTAAAAAATGAAATCAGATTAAAAAGAAAATAAGCAAGTCATTTAATTAGAAAGTTTTGCCAACTCTTGTAAAAATCACTGGTCTCTGTTTGGAACAACTTTCTCACAACACAAAGATTAGTACCTGTTACCTATCCACGCCTAAATATGTGACAACCATAGCTTTCCGACGTTAAGGTATAATGGTTTTGCAGTTTGGGTTTGTAATAGTTTTAAACTACTGACAAATTATGTATTTTGAGTTCTATTTCGAGGCATATGTCAAAAGTATTGTATTGTTTACAGACAGAATAACTAAAATGTGGAGTAAAACATGTTGGAAGAGTTTAGCAAAGCGTATAAAAATGAAGACTAAAAAAACCCATTGCGTTTTAAGTTTAAAAATAAATGGCATCCATTTGTGGGAATCCTGTGACTTTTTTGGTCTTAGTTAGTTGGTACATACTGCACGCGCCACAGCACGTTGGAAAGTAAGTCCTGGTAGACACTAAGGAATAACCAACCAGGTAAATACATCAGCGTGATGAGGCCCATGAAATTGAGCGGGTAGTTAGAATAGTCCCAGGAACAAGCCCCGCACATGCGGAGGCCCAGGCCCCAGGACAACTCCCACGCGTAGATGAAGAGCACGTAGATGGGTACCCGCTTCCAGGTGCCCCAGCCCCGGCTGTAGTGGAGATGGAAGTAGAGCTTTTCCACTACGAAGCTGCAGCTGCCATACATAAAGAAGGACCAGAGCGATGTGTGACCGCTGGCCGCCCCGTCCCCTTGCCCCAACACGTTGAAGAAGAAGGTGAAGAAGATCTCATCTAGAAAGCCGTGCATTCCGAAGAAGAGAAAACGGAGCAGGTCAGGCAGCCCCTGGCTGGGGGCTCCCCCCGCGCCCCGGAGACCGCGGGGTCGTCGTCGCCGGCCGCCCGCTGCCGCCAGGGCCCGGGCGCCGGGAAGGGCGGGAGGAGCGCCCTGCTGTTTCTGCTGCTGCCGCCGGCGGTACCGTAGGCGCAGGAAGCGCTTCAGGAACACCTGGCAGTGGTAGAGCGCCAGCACGTACTGCAGCGCCAGGTCCAGCGCCCCCGGTGCCGCCGCGCCCCCCAGTCCGCCCCCAAGGCTCAGTAGCAGCGCTTGGCCTGCCAGGGTCTGCAAGCCCACGTGGGCCGAGGGGTAGAGCAGGAAATTGAAGACGAAGGCGCTGGGGCAGCCCCGCCGCTGCAGGTAGACCTTCTCCAGGGCGAAGTGCGTGAGCGAGTGCAGCAGGCAGCGGTAGGGCGAGGAGAAACCCAGCATGCGGAGGTCCGGGCTGCGCGCGAAGCGCCGCGCCGAGGACACGAGCACGTCCAGGGTGACGCCGTGCATCCCGTAGAAGTAGAGGCGCATCCAGGCGGGCAGCGTGGCGCCCTCGACCGGCGCTTCAGCAGCGGACAGCGGCCGTGTGCTGCTGCCGGCCGCCGCCTCGCCTCCTTGCCGCC